AGAATGGTATTGTTAATAATGTGCATTAGATATTTTAATTTTTATAAAAATTTAAGTTTATATAAAATAATTGTAATATTTTTTTCTTCTCTTAAAACTTTCCTTGCTGTTAAAAAAAAATAAAAAGCGAAGGGATGGCTAATATTTTACGAGAGGTGTCATTAGAGGTTTCCCTTCTTTTTACTTCTAGTACAAAGAAGGTCAAAGCTCTTATTTGCACCTTCCAATTATATCTTTTTTGTGATCAACACCTCTCAAATATTTTCTTCTTAATTAACACTTTTCACTTTTCAAAACCCATGAAAAACTCAATATTTTAACGGATAGTCACGTCATCGTTAATAACCGTTAAAAAGTGCAATATATGACAACCAAATAATGATGTGGGCATTACGTGGAGTTATTTATCTAATGTGGATGATTTTTTGATGACATGGCATAATTTTATGTGAAAACCTCCCAACCCAAAAAAAAAAAAAAGATCTAGAACACAGTGGAACCCAGAGTGAAGGAACCTAGCTCTGGGTTCCTTGAGGAACCCGATTTGGGTTTCTCGAGGAACCCGATTTGGGTTCCTCATGACGAGGAACCTAAAGCTGGGTTCCTCACAACGAGGAACCCGATCTAGGTTCCACGAGGAACCCAAATCTGGGTTCCACCACGATGAGGAACCTAGAATTGGGGTGGAACCCAGATTTGGGTTCCATCGTGAGGAACCTAGAGTTGGGTTCCTCGTCATGGTGGAGCCTAGCTCTAGGTTCCTTGTTGAACCCAGTTTGTACCTTTCTTTTACCTTTCTTTTTTGTGATTCTTTCTAGTTTTGATAGAATAATAAGATGATGATTTGATTCTTTGATGGGTTCTCAACTTTTCTTACAAGTGAATTAAAAGATTGTTCCTTTTTTTCCAATCTGAATCAACCTCCATTAGAACCATCTTGCAAGTGAATTAAAAATTGTTCCTTTTTTTCCAATCTGAAGCAACCTTCATTAGAACTATGGATGAAATCTTTTTCGATCTTCCATGGAGGCTAGGTTCCACGAGGAACCCAAACCTCCATTAGAACTTGGGTTCCTTGCGGAACCAAAGAGGATGATGAAGAGGACAGTGAAGAGGAGGGTGAAGATGATGTCGAGGATGAGGAGAAAGAAGAAGGTGAAAAAATTAAAGTTAATTATGTTTTAATTCATTTAATTTTTTGTTTTAGTTTTTTTTTTTTTTTTTTTTTGGTTTGGAAGCTTTTACATAAAATTATGCCATGTTATCATGTCACAACATCAAATAATCATCCACATTAAATAAATAACGTCACGTAATATACACAATATTATTTGGTTGTCTTATATTATATTTTTTAACAGTTCTTAATGATGAGGTGATGATTTATTAAAATATTAAATTTTTTATAAACTTTAAAAAGTGAAGAATATTAATCGAGAGAAAAATATTTAAAAGATATTTACAGTGAAAAAAACATAATTGGAGAGTGCAAATAGCGGCTTTGGCCTACAAAGAAATCAATAACCTTGGAGCAGGACTCCATTTTGGAAACTCCTGATGGTGCTTCCAGCTATTCGTCGTGAATCGTGACGATAATTTAGGAATACAGAGGCCGCGTGCGATTAGATAATTCAATGCTTCTAAGCAGTGCCACTTTTGTTTTATAACCAAAAGAACAAAACTTTGAAGTTTCAACGTTTAGTACGAGTCAACAAAAGCATCTTCCCTAGTCAACAGTCAACTCACTTGCCCCTCCAAGCCCGCGAGCTTTCTTTTCTCAAAATGCAACACCCATTCCGACCCCCGCCTCTCCTATCGCCTCCGCTATGCTCCCTCTCGTCCTCCTCTTCCCACTCATCGTCTTCCTTTCCGCCCATGGAACGCATTCCTCTACCCAAAACAACACTTCCGCCTTCCCCAACTGCGACCAGACTTTCTCATGCGGGGGCCTCCAAAACCTCTCTTACCCATTCACCGGCAGGCACGGTCGGTCATACTGCGGCCCATCGGAATTCCGCATCAACTGCACCGACAACGGAATTCCCGAGTTAATTCTGGACTCACTGACTCACAGGATCATCCAACTCGACCAAAACAAACAGAGCATGACCCTTTCCCGCTCGGACCCGTACAACAACACATATACCCATGAATTCGCTAACACCAACCTGAGTTTCACTTTATTCAATCTCAGCCCAGACAACCAAAACCTCTCGCTGTTATATGAGTGTACTTCGGTCCAGGCGTATATCCCGGAGAACCTGTTCTTGTGCGGCGATTGGACTTCTAGAAGCACCGCGTACCATGTGTTGGGTCCAGGTCCAAGCGATCCAATATTCAAGATTATTCGCTGTAACACCAGCGTAACCGCCCATGTTGCAAGTTGCGGCGGATAAACTTGCGACCAATAGATCTGCGCTCAAGGAAGCTTTAATGGAGGGATTTAGCGTGAATTATGCTACTCCAAATGTGGACGATTGCGCTAGGTGTCATGATTCGGGTAGTGAGTGCGGGTTTTTGGATCAGTTTGTTTGCATTTGCGGTGATCCAATTTGTGACGTACCAGGTATTTGTTAACAATACTGACTTTAGTATCTATTTGATAATGTTGGTTCTTTGCCTAATTTCTAATTTCCCCGTTATCTCTGCATTTTGCTTCCCCAACCATAATTAAGTTCGTCCTAAGGATGTCCCAATGGTTAAGAGCTTGAGTCTCCTCGTTAGAGATTTCAAGTTCAAATCTTGGGATGGGTGGGGAGGGATTTGGGAAGGGAAAAACTATTTCTGTTGTATAGCTCATCCGATGATAAAAAAAAAAAAAAGTTCACCTGAACTCCTGACGTTTATATCTTAGTCTATCTTAATGTTCTACTGTGACAATTCATGGTTGGGAAATTTATGAATTCACGGTTTCTGTGTGACAAGTCACCAACTATTGAGCACCTTTTAGTTGAGTTTGTTTCCAGTAGTGCTACTTGGACTGAAGGATGTTCTTTGGCTTCAATTGTGATAAATGAGTAGTTTCAACCCTAATGAATTTCACTTGGCTGATGGCAAAAGACTCTTAACTTCACATAAAAGAATTTGCTTGTTTTAATCCCTAATTAGACCACTGCTGTATTGAAATGTCCATTTAGGCTGCTTCAATTACTAATAATCGTGTATTAATGTCATTCTAATGTGTAGCAATAATTTGTTTCGGGAAGAGTTGATTCTTTAAAATATTTCAAATCTTACCGCATTCAAATAAGCTAATTCTTTCTTCAATATTTCTATGGTTGGATTTTAGTTTGTGTTTCTGAAATGCTTCATTAGCTCTCTTCTATCAGGTTAAAAAAAAGTGATGATACCATTTCTTTTCCTTTTTGTTGTTTCAGGGAAATCAAAGATTAAAGTTCAACTAATCATAGGTACTAAATTAGTCTCATTTGGAAAACGTTATTTTTGTCTGACATCTTATATCCATCATTTCTAGATTAGTTGACTTGATCTTTTTTTATGGCCAAGCAACAAAATGTTGACTTATTCTTCATTAATCTCTCATAAAACAGGATTGGCAGTAGTTGTAGCTGCCATTATAGCAATCATTTTTATAGTGCTCCTCGTCAGGCTTAAAGCAAAATCATTGTCAAGTTTGAAGTCTCTATACTTCCATCTAACTAGCAAGAACGATGAAAGAGTTGAGGCATTCATTCTTCAGTATGGTTCTCTTGCTCCGAAGAGATTTTCCTATTCAGACATCAAGAAAATAACCAACTCACTCAAAGATAAATTGGGTCAAGGAGGATATGGCAGTGTGTATAAAGGGGAATTAGCTGATGGCCATATTGTGGCAGTAAAAGTACTCAGAAAATCCAAAGGGGATGGGCAGGATTTCATCAATGAAGTTGCTAGCATTAGCAGAACCTCCCATGTCAATATAGTCACCCTATTAGGGTTCTGTTATGAGAGGTTAAAAAGAGCTTTGATTTATGAATTCATGCCCAATGGATCTCTGGATAAGTTCATTTGTAATCAAGGATCTCTAAAGAACCATCAGCTTGCAATTAAGACCTTGTATGAGATTGCACTAGGCATTGCTCAAGGACTAGAATACTTGCATCGAGGTTGTGCCACAAGGATTTTACACTTTGACATAAAACCTCAAAACATCCTCTTAGATGCCAACTTTTGTCCTAAGATATCTGATTTTGGTCAAGCTAAATTATGTGAAACAAGAGATACTATTGTTTCAATGACAGGAGCTAGAGGAACTTGTGGATATATCGCTCCAGAGGTATTTTGTCGAAGCTTTGGAGGAGTATCTTACAAGTCTGATGTGTATAGCTATGGCATGATGATCCTAGAAATGGTTGGGGGAAGAAGAAAGAATGTTAATGTGGAAGTGTCTCACTCCAGTGAAATGTATTTTCCAACGTGGCTGTATAAGCAGCTTGAAAAATCAGAAAAATTGAATCTTGACAGAATCATAGCTGATGAGGAAGAAGAAATGACAAGGAAGATGATAGTAGTGAGCCTTTGGTGCATTCAAACAATTCCATCAAACAGACCATCAATGAGTAAGGTGCTTGAAATGTTACAAGGAAGCCTTGAAGCTTTGCTACTTCCACCAGAACCTTTGTTGTCTTCTCCTGCACCAATATCACTCCAAAACTCCAACACCACATCATCAGTCATAATGCAGGTTAGACCATACTCTGATTTTTTATATGAGTTAGTGCAATAAATGTATCAAATTTTTTTGGATGTACAATTGTCTTCAATTTGATTACTATGCTCATAGCAATATGTTTGAGATGATTTGCAGGGGGTTCGAAGAACTTTTGCGACTAATTCACTACTTGATGATGATGACGTGTCTTCAAATACATAGAAATGGTGTCTGCTGCATTTTTTTTCTTTTTTTTTCTTGACAGCAAAACAAAGTTCTGTTACTAGAAGTCAAACATCCCCTGTAGATGGTATTCAAAAGTTCAGCATAGTTTTCCCTGTATTTTCTTAATCCTCTAGTCTCCAGCATGTAACACTCCATGGACCACTGTGAAATCATCCCTATTCTCCATGAATAACACTCCTTCGATTTGTTCATCCAATCAGTCAATGAAAAACAGCAATTTTATTCGCTTTTGAGCCAAAACTAGTTCCTCAACTGTATCTAGAGTGCGATTGAATTATGGTTGTTTTGCAATGTGATTTATCTGTTGAACATATTTAGTGGAAAAAGGATGATAATAATGATATAATTCCAACTAAAGCTAACTTGCTTGGTCTAGTTAATGTTCATCATAATGTACAACGCATAAAGCTCCGAGAGTCAGTTACTCTTGGAAAACTTTTTCTTTCATTAGTTCAATTTTCCTAAATATGAAGAAAAAGAGAAAATTACAAGCTGCCAGGTTCCAAGGAATTCTACAAAAGTTTTAACATCCAACATGATCACCTAAATTTTTGGTTTTGTTTTGTGAAGATAGCGCCTTGAGATGTCTTCAAAATTCCAGTTCAACCCAACCTTTTCCTGTCAAAATAATAATAATATTATGAAGGGAACTTAAACCAACTACTCTTGTTTCATGATTAAACAGGAATAGAACTTTTTGAAATTTGAATTTAAGGACAAATTTAACGGTCGGTTAAATCCTAGCTAATATTAGATATTTTGAGGATGAAGATGCTGCCGTGAGATTATTAGGAATTAAAAAAAAAAAATGTTTCATATAGAAAAATTGAATCTTGACAGAATCATAGCTGATGAGGAAGAAGAACTGACAAGGAAGATGGTAGTAGTGAGCCCTTGCTGCATTCAAACAATTCCACCAAACAGACCATCATTGAGTAAGGTGCTTGAGATGTTACCAGGAAGCCTCGATGTTTTGCCACTTCCACCGGAACCCAGCTTGTTGTCTTCAATTTGCTTACTATGTTCATTGCAATACGTTTGAGATGATTTGCAGGATGTTCCAAGCACTTTTGAGACGAATTCACTACTTGATGACAATGACAAATCTTCAAATACATAGAAATGTTATCTGCTGCACTGCTGTAGGGTGTGATTGGACAATGCTTTTATATGCATAACGTAGAGTTTTCAATATGATTTATCTGTTGAACATATTTAGTTGAAAAGGATGATGATGACGTAAGTACAGAAACATTCATTTGCTTATACATCTTACGATCTTGATTTAATTTCATTTTTATTTTCTGTTTGTTCTCTCGGAAATGCTTTATGTTCATCCAATGATTGGACATAATGCTTCTGTATCCTGAGCAGTGTTTGAGGAGGGGGGATTTTATCCTTAGTTCTTATCCTTCGTATTTGACCTGTTAAAATGTTTGACAATCTAACACGTGGCCTTGACCATGCGGAAGATGCCTCGATGCTGCAACACAGCCAGCTTAGTATTAGGAATTTGCAATGAAACCTGCGGTCTTAGTACGGTTCTACACGGTAGAAGACTTCTATGCAATGAAATTACATTTCCAGGAAATTGATGCAAAGAGTAAAGTATTTGCAATCTGCTTTTGCGTCTATATGACAATTGCTCTAGTAATTTTTAGTAATAATTGGCTATTTTTGCTTAATTGTGTAAATTTTAACATGAGCACATCTTCTATTTCTAGTGCTATATGTTAGCTTTAATTTGCTGTTTATAGTCTATATTTTTTTAAGGATAATTTTGTAAGCTCACTTTATTAATAAATTACATGATTTTTTTAATAAAAAATATATATACTCAAAATTTTTTTAAAAAATAAAAATTCATTTAGAAGTGAATTTATTTAAAAATAAAATAAATTTTAATTCATTTCTTAAAAAAAAAAAAAAAAAAAAGGAAGGAGGCTGGGGAAAACTATATCTTTTTTGCGATTCGTATACTTCTAGTCTAATTTCGTTTTCATTAGCCTCCCACTAATTTATTCTCTTTGACAAATCTCACACTTTTACTTGGTCAAACACCACCATTTCTCTTCTTTCAACATGTCCAACACGGTTCATTACCTATTTTCAAAAAAACATGTCCAACACAGTCATTTGCAACCTCTTCATCCCCATCTTCTTCTTTTTTTCATTCTCCTGTTTCATCGGACAAAATGAATCCCCTTCACCTCCCTGGGTCTTTCTTCTTCTTTATCATCATCACCTTCGTCTTGATCCATGCTCCTAAATTTGCATCCTCTGTGGATGAAGGTTATGTGAACTGCAACAGAGCTTTCGCCTGTGGAAACATTGAGAATATTGGCTATCCTTTCTGGGGTTCAGGCAGGCCGGACTACTGTGGCTTCCCAGGGTTCGAGCTGAACTGCAGTGATTCTATGCCGGAGATCACAATCATGTCAGCAACATACCATGTCCTCGGAATCAACAACGAGACCCGGGTTCTCACCGTGGCCAGAACCGATTATCTAGACAACCTCTGCCCCACCTTCCTAATCAACACCACTCGGAATCCTGACCTCTTTGAATTTACTTCCGATACTCAGGTTATAAACCTCTATTATCATTGCCCTCCTCCTCCAACTCCAATACCAAATGAGGAAACTGAGTTCTTCAGTAATTTTACTTGTAATATAAACACAACCACCTTGTCCGGATATTTCCTCACCAGAAATCTCAGTGAATTGGCCGACCTGGCTTCTATTGCGACTGAAATCAGCGCCTCCTTGCGTAGTTGCGATGACCTGGTTGTTCTGGCTGCAAACCAATCCGAAATCCAGTCTGTCGAGACAAGTCAGAATCTGAGATGGGAAAATCTGATTGAAGCTCTAGCCAAAGGATTTGGGTTGCAGTGGAATGCAAATAATAGCTTGTGTGGTCGGTGCAGAAGCTCCGGCGGGCAGTGTGGGTATAACACGGTTTCGAATAAGTTTTCTTGTTACTGCACAGATCGGCCCTATGATACCGTTTGTCCTACTCCTACAGGTCAGTTTGTTACTTCTCTCTCTTTAGTGATCAGCGTAATAATACGGTTATTTTTTTTTTCAAAGTTAGATCCGACGTTGGAGTCATTGTTAGTCTTTCTTCTTTAAAGGGCGCTTGGATTGCTTTCACAGCCATTTTCTATATAGCTATATATGCGCTACTAAAAATGTTATTTGTATAAATGAGATGAATACAAGGTGTTAAATATAAAGGGTTAGGATGTTACATGTTGATAGTCTCAAAATTTTTTTTAGAGAAGATATTTAAAATTTATATTTTTAATTAATATTTTTAAAAATTAATTATTAAATTAAAAATTTTATTTGTGTAAATCATGTATATTAATTTTATATTTATCAAATACTTAAAATTTTTTAATTAAAAAAACTCTATATGTTGACATATATTTAATTATGTTAAATTTTATATAATTAATAAATAAATTAAGTTTATTAAATTAATTTAAAAATTAATATATATATCAAATACTTATAATTTTTTAATTACAAAAACTCTATATGTTGACATATATTTAATTATGTTAAATTTTATATAATTAATAAATAAATTAAGT